GAATTACTGGTTGAGTCTGTAATCTCTTATGCAGTGACTTTTTTTTATATGCCACATAGATGACTGACAGTATTCCAGTGACAGGAGGTGGTTTAAGAGGACCTTCAGGTCAGCTGAGATTTGCATCTCCAAGCAGTGAGACAATAAGCCGTAACACTGGGAGCAGACGAATGATGACATCATTATGGACAGAGACAGACACAGTGAACATCAGGAGGAGGAACACATCACTCAGATATGACAGAATGACATCACAGGAAACCATAAACAATGTTAATAGAGATCAGACAAAACCGCTTTACTTTGGTCTAAATTATAACTGTTCAGGGTGACTGTTAATAGATGTTTTCTCTAATTCATTTAATGATATGGCTGTTTAAAACTCAAAAGGTATACTGTCACGATCGGGCTCCGGTGATCCGAGGAGCAGAGAAACGGAGCCAGGAAGTCGGGTACAAACGGGGTTTTTAATGCTCGAGAGACTGACAGGTAGGGACATCGACGGACACTACAACAATGACTGATCTGGGGATGACTGACTCTGACAAGGACTAAATACACTAAACAAGCTGAGGGAAACGAGCAACAGGTGAGATCCATCAGGGAAGAACACGAGGTAATGAGGGGGGCGTGGCACACATCGGGATCGTACGGAGCGGGACGTGACACATATACAATATATGCAATTATATATGAGAATGTTGTAATATATACATACAGAAAAAATAATTCTCTGACATGTTATTATCTTATCTGCAGTAACCTTAAGAAACACTAATACTTTGCTAATCTTGCTTTTTAAACCTGGACTACTAACACGAGACAATGATTTTTGACAATCTACATAAAAAAGAAACAACACAATGAAAATACCACAAAGAAGATACAGAAGATAAGCAAAGCTGGGGTTTATCATACTGGGTGAACAGACCATTGAAAACTGCACTGATCTTTCCATGTCCACATGAGATAAGGACAGCAGTGACTATGGAGTATAAGGAAACTCTGTGGCATCTA